GCGAATCCAGAGGAGGACAACGAAGTTGGTGAAGGGTCTGGAGCACAAGTCTCATGAGCAGAGGCTGAGGGAACTGGGGGTGTTCAATCTGGAGAAAAGGAGGCTGAGGGGAGACCTTCTCACTCCCTACAACTCCCTGAAAAGGGGTTGTAGCCAGAGGGACTCAGTCTCTTCTTCCAAGGAACAGGCGACAGGACAAGAGGAAATGGCCTCAAGTTGTGCCAGGGGAGGTTTAAGATGGATATTAGAAAACATTTCTTCACCAAAAGGATTTTGAAATATTGGAACAGGCTGCCCAGGGAAGTGGTGGAATCTCCATCCCTGGAGGTATTTAAAAGTCAGGTAGACGTGGTGCTGAGGGACATGGTTTCGTGGTGGTTTTGTCAGTGTTAGGTTAATGGTTGGACTCAATGATCTAACAGGTCCCTTCCAACCTAGACAACTCAATGAGTCTATGATTGGGGACGAGCAACACCCCCAGAGCCCCCCATGTGGTGTGTGTCCCCCAGGAGCAGGAGGCTCCGTCCCTGTGTACACGAGCAGCACCTGCAGGTCCCCACCATGGCCCTTGCATAGAAGCCAGCTCCGGGGCTGCTCACACTCAGCTCTTCTGGCCACAGCATCCTCCACCACAGCTCCTACCCCACTTCCACTCACCCCCAATCTCCAAGCCCCATCCCTGCTATTTCAAGGGAAACAAATGCCACCCCTCAGGTCACTCCCAGCATCAAGAAGCACCAGCTCCTCTTCCTGGTAAAAAGATTTATTAAGAACCTGCAGTAGCTGCCTGAAAGGAGGATGCTGCCCTGGCACGGGCGCTGTGTGGTGGCAGGGAGCGGAGTGAGAGGATTAGCGCTTCTCCAGGCAAAACAAACCCGGGTCAGACCCAGCAGCAGGATGACATGGAGCAAGTGGATGGCACAGAAAGGTGGTGGCAGCACGTCTGCATGGCAGAGGACCTCCCGCCGGGGCAGCCCAGCAGTAGTTAAGGCGTATAAAGTGCTTGGAGGAAGACCAGCCCTACGGCGGAGCTAAATAACTCAAGCAGAGAGGGACAGCGAGGGATGCAGGTGGCTGGTGGGTCACCTGCACCTCTGCCCTGCGGGGACCTGGCATAGGAGGGTGACATTAAGACATGCCCTGCCTGGAGCTGCAGGCAGGAAGGATGCTGCCTGCCCATGCCTCGGCCCCCAAATACAACCAGGAGATGGGCTGCAGGGTCCCCAGATAGGACCCAGGCTGCTGGTCTTCATGGTCATCTCCCAGTCCACCCCATGGCCAGGATGCTGCTCCACGTTGTGGGGGTGCTTCTGCCGATGCACGGGAAGGATGGTCCCAGTGACTTGTCTCAGTCCCAGTGGCCAAATGAGATGAGTGGGACTTGTCCTGGGTCAGGCTGTGCCCCAGCTGCCCATCACCACATGTGTCCCCACGGAGAGAGCCCAGCCGGTGCCCGGCCACCTCTCCTGCCCCTGGGAGCACCACCAGCCACTTGGTCCCTTGTGAGAGGGAACATCCATTGGGGGTTTGGGTGGTTTCAGTCCTGTTGTGCTTGTGATGTTTGCGTCAGAAGGGACACGAGATGATCTCACCGGTGCCTTGTGTTGCTGAGCTGGTCCCACACACAGGACAGGGATGCACCAAAGGCAGACCCAGAGCTGCCATGGGAGGGACAAGGCCACTTTGGGGGCACTTCTGGCAAAAACAGCCCTGTGCTTCTGGCCAGAGGTGGTGGGGGCAAGCAGGGACACCCTCCACAGCTAATCCTGCATCCCTCCAGCCTGCCCCAGCACTCCCCAACGCTCCCTCCTCCCCATGGACTGCTCCAAGAAATACTGCTTTTCCCTGGAATGTTTGTATCTAAAATCCCCAGGATGGGATTAAGAAAAAAAAAAAAAAAAAAAAGAGGAGA